AGTTTGTGTGTGTGTGTGTGTGTGTGTGTGTGTGTGTGTGTGTGTGTGTGTGTGTGTACATAAACCCCCACCCGACCTGGTCCTGCTTACGGGGCAAATGTGCCATTTAGTGGCTTTCAACTGCGACTTGCTGACCAGCTGCTGACTTGTTCTGTTTTCACTGGCGATTACGACTCCAAAAAAGGTGCAGCGCGGCGGACAATGGCGCCGAGCTTTACATGTCCCTCGAGCGGTCGCATACAAAGAGCGGAGCGCGCCACCATAGAGTCCCGCGGCGACCCGTTTGTCGTCCGGGGGCCCTCAGCGGGAGAAGGAACAACCTGGATCTGAAGCGTGCTAGCAGCCTGAGAGTGATTATTGATTATCCACCATTGGCTGTCTTTGTTGTCCTCATTGAGTCCTTTATACTGGAACAAAGCAATCATACGAACAATGCAGACAGAAATCAAGTGTCAACAACAAAGCACTGCACATGTACACCCACTGTGTTTGAAAGCAAGAGTTAATTGAGTTTTTTTTTTTAAGTGCAATCGAATCCAATGAGAAAACGCTGCTGATGCCAGAAGGTGTCATGTGACTTCCATTTCTTTTGGAGTCATGGAAGTTTTTTTCTGGTTTACATCCAGTTTTGCTACCAATTGAAACTGAATATTTGTTTCAGCAAGGGTGCCGCTCAGGTGCATGGACTCGCCCTCTTTTGTACACCGCAGGGGGTCAGTTGTCATCCTTAAACCATTGCCTCTAAGTTGAATGTTGCCATGACCTTGGACTCCAGTGAAACGCACTACTCTGTACTGTCCACTTTGGCCTGCATGTCCCCGTGTACATTACATACTGTATTACATAAACCCATTGCTAAATTATGCTTTTTTTGCACCCAGACACTCTTCGGAGTGCATACAATGGAACATGACAGGATGCTTTGTTGTCATTATGTTACTGGCGATTACAAAGTACAACATCAAAACATCAAGACAACAAAAGTAGTGTTACTTTGAGAGAAATACGCACACGGCGTGGACACGTGCTTGGTCGGTGGTGGTGGTGGTGGTGGTGGGGGGGGTCACGAAAGAGGCGTTCAAGGACACGCTACTTCAGATACGTCAACTCTGTACTTGTTTATTCCGTCAACGTCCAACAAAGGTTTCGCCTGTTCCCATTCTGTTGTGTCAGCTGACTTTTTGTGGTTGGAGTTTAAGTAGTTCAAGTGATTTAAAGACGCGACAAATTCAAAAACCGAATGTTTGGCGCTGCGTTGGATCTATAAGGGAAAATACAAATTCATATACTGTACATGTAAACTACCATGAGTTTAACACGATTACGTGTCAGTACTTCCACGTTAATGGAAGTATGTATCGTAATTAAAAACGAGCAGTTTGCGAACGATGTTGTTTAAAATTTAAAAAACGGGATTGCTGTAAGCAGGGTTTCAAAATGGAAAAGAAACTCTTACAAAAAAAAAAAAGGTTCTGGAAAACTGGAAAAAAATAGCAATCTTTTTACCCGAGGGCGCTGAACGTAGCATTACTATGACGTGTTATAAGCTTTGGTGCCGCGTTCGCTTTCTCAGAAAAATACATTTTCAAATAAACTGCGATTTGTTCAACACGATTACGTGGCAACAGTCATATTGTGCAAATTGTAATTTGAAGTTGCACATACTAAAGCTCTAAAAGCGTTTCAAATTGGAATCGATTCCTATTAAAAGGATTTCATGTTTGAAATGGCGTTTTCTTTTCACCAGAAAACATGAACGCAGCATTGTTATGACGTACCACGGATGCGCGCTCCCGACCGTACGTACCTACTCCCCCAAGACGACGTACATGCTCGCCCCCTGGAATCGCGTGGTGGAGAGCGACCATATTGCTGCTATCGGCGGAGGTAGGGTTGTTCTCCCCCCGTAAGGCCTATCGGACGCGGTTCTTTTTGCCTTTGTTCATGTTTGAAACAACCGTGGACGCGTCCGTGTCTTGGACTGAAGCTCGGTTCGTCTAAGAGCGACATAGGAGCGCCACACTCCCGCCGAACAACTTCACTTTTCCCCTTCGAGCGCATTCGGACTGGGGGGGAGGAGAGGACTGGTAATCTCGAAGGGGGTGGGAGAACCACGGCGCTTGCAAATGGCCACTCAGGTGGAGGCTCTCCTGCCGGGCAACCCGCTTATCAAAGCGGAGGAGCGGGGCAAAGTGAGACGCGGCGAACCGGAGTCGGAGCTTGAGGTCGACGGGGCCAAGCGGGGCCAGGCGGGGAGTTTAGCTGAGGAGGAGGAGCTGGAGCCCGGCAGCGACAACGCAAACAGGCTCGGGCTGAACCCCGGAAGCCCCATGCGGGACACGAAGGGGAACGAGGGGGGCTGTGACAGCGAGGTCAAAGCCGGCGAGGATGACGGTAAAAGCCGAAAGGACCTTTCGGAGGCCCCCCCGCCCAAGGTGAACCCGTGGACTAGGAAAATGAACGCGGTGACCGTGGTCAGCGTGAACGGACAAGCACATCACGGTGGGTACTCCCCCACCCTCATGTTTGTTCCCCCGCCTGTCATTCGCGTATCCGTGGGTCAGTCCAGCAGCTGTCTTTCAGGTGGGCCAGGTAGCGTTCATGCTATTTAAATGTCAAGCCCTGCTGGATATATTCGAAGCGCATGCATGCACCCCCTTCTCCACTCGGGGAGTCTATTCCTGGAATCCAGGGTCACTCAAGTGTTGCCATGGGGTGTCTCGTTGCACTTGGGACGCCATCACACGCGCACACTTTTGAGAAGTGACTTGTTAGATTTATTTTGCCTCAAAAGTTATGATGGATGAAAGTGCTACGTCACAACCGTGCACGCAAAATCGATAAAAGGGCGACTCGAGTGGACATTTCGTCGGGAATGACACCGCGTTGAATTAAAGTAGCTGACACACGGGGTGAGTTCGAGTGGCCGTGAGTTCCGGGGGTCCATCTTTAAAAGTGGCTTCATGCGAGAAGAAAAAAGAGTGGAGACGCCCGCCCCGGCTAACAATAGCACGGGCCTAGCTCACCTCCCCCCACCCCCCACACAAACATTTGCTTTCATTGCCACTCACTACTCTGAAAAACGGCTGCCCCGTCGTAAACGTTCTCAACTTTGCGGTTATTCCTCGATTATCCTGCTGTTTAATCGTCTCAAAAAGGCGAGCAGGTTTGTTTTGAGACATCACGTGTTCACTGCACGTGTGGAAGGCATGGTAAAACTCAGCTAGCCGACACGAGCTAGCTGGCTAAACGGACCTCTGCTGCAATCGCGCCCTTGTTTTATTGTTTGTGGCATCGGTTTTTTGCCCCTCTGGTTTATTTACGCGGCTGTCATGTGGCCTGTGCGTCGCCAACCTCTCCCAGGCTACCAGTTAGCCGGCGATGCTAACGAGGCTACGTGCAAGTCATCCTATTTCGCTCATGAACGCGCCACATCGTGATTAGTAACGTGGTGGTGTTGGGTTTTTTTTTTTTGAGGGAGGGCAGATGATCGGTAATCGTGTTTGTCCAAACAAAGTTGTGCTGATCGAGATGAGGCGGTTTTAAACCTTCCAACGGGGCCTCGTGTGCGGAAAGACAACGTGTCTTTCAGCCATTTGTCTCCCCCCCGCCACGCTGCCGCTTGTGTTGGAATTGTCCAGCTGTTTCATGAAGCATCTGGCAGTCTGGTGGACTTTGAATGTAAAATCGCCGAAGATTGAACTCTTGCGGCATTGCCAAGCACATCACTTATTCTCCGAGTATATTCACGTGTGATAAACTCGTCACTGACTATGTTTTGACATCTGGGGGGGGGGCTCTTTTCTGTGGCCACTGATTCTTCACTGGTCAGTTGGCACCCAGACAATGCCAAAATTAGGAATATTTGCATTTGATCAGAATGACGTTTGAGTTCAAATGTTCAATGGAATACAGACACAAACCTACTTGCGCACATTTGGACACGCTCCGACCGATGCGCTCGGTAAAGTGTTCATTAAACAGGCACACACTAACCGACTGCAGTGTGTTTACACCTTTGTACTTTTGCATGTCTGAATATTGAGCTGTGGGCTTTCCGTGCAGTATCGTGTTTTTTTGCAACCCTTGATTGGGACGTGCCATCTATCCAATTTCAAGCAAGTCAAGTCGTACAGTCTTGCTCAGTCACAACATATGAGTAAGCTAGCTGTACGAACACATTCACAAAGGGAGGTTTTTAATTTTTCAAAAACCAGCCACAGCACTCAGCGTCACAGTATACTGGTGAGTTGCCATGGCAGTGAGTGCTGACACAAACAAACAAACAAAAAGCATCATGAATAATGACTCTGGAATGCAACTTCTGGTTTGTGTTCTTGGATTTTCATAAGGTATAGAAGGGGTGTGACATAAGTGGTCAACAAACGGACTGCTTTTGGTAGTCCGTCAAACTCATTTGAAACGATGTCCTGAGAACCTGGATGTCGCTGCGGTACGAAAGAAAAGGAGCGCGGTGCAAGCGCAAGGTGCAGCGGCATATGAAAACGGCCTCTCCCCGGCCTTGTTCGATGGAGCCAAAGCGGTAAATGGCATTGCTGTTTTTCTAGCATGATCATTCAGGCTGATCAAAATGTGACTGTTGCACTGTCTATCAGTCATGTCCTGTAAAGGCGGCGGTCTGTTCATGCTGCGCTGCCCTAAAGTTTTATTTATTTTTTTCTCTCGGGTGAAATTGTATTGAGGTAGGGCACCATGTTGCCTGGTTAGTGGGTCCGCCTCACAGTGCAAAGGGGCCAGGGTTTGAATCCGGGCTCCTGTCTCCCTGTGGAGTTTGCATATTCTCCCCGTGCCTGCGCCGGTTTCCTCCCACATTCCACAAACATGCATGGCAGGTTAATAGAAGTCTTGAAATTGTCCCTAGGCGTGACTTAAGTGCAAATGGTTGGTTGTCTTTGTGTGCCCTGCGGTTGGCTGGCAGCCGGTTCAGGGCGTACCCCGCCTCCTGCCCCAAGTCAGCTGGGAGAGGCTCCGGCACGCCCGCGACCCTCGTGAGGAGAAGCGCACTAGAAAATGGATGGATGTGCTATATTTAATCTTATACATGCACTTCGGGTCATGCTCGGTTTTTGAATGTGTTCCGGAATGCCTTTTTTTTTTTTACCCCCAACAGCAGAGTGTTTAAAAGAACATATCGTTTGAAAATGTGTATAATTTCTTTGTAGTCCTGAACTGCTTCAAAAATGAGTGTTATTTTGTGAACGCTACCGTTTGCTTCGAATCGGTAAGAATCAACCGCACATTTAAAAAAAAAAATGGCAAAGTTCTGCCATTAGCTGATGGGAACGTTCAGTCCCGACTGATAAAAAAGAAAGAAAATTGAAGGGGGTGATTGGGACGTAAAAGCGATGTTGCAACATTGCATCAAAGCGCACGTCAGGCATCCAATCCGATTGCGATTGGACTTTTTTTTTTTCCTGATTGTG